CTGCGCTCGCATCTACCATCATCTTTAACCGCCGCTCCCATGTCCATTCCATTACGGTCTTCGGGGCAGGCATGCAAGCAAAATGGCACATACGCCTCGCTCTCATGCTGCGTGGGTCCGAAATTCATCACGTCGACATCATAAACCGCTCATTTGCCCGGGCAAAAGAACTCATGCATGAATTCTACACCTCACCCGATTGGGAAGGCTTACGCAACGCGAATTCGAAATTGGCATTTAGCATTGTCTCCTCCGAGTACGGCGAATATCAACGGCTATTGAAGGAACACATCCGCAAAGCAGATGCCATCTTCCTTTGCACGCCTAGCACCGCCCCTCTTTTCCCAGCCGAACACCTTACCAGCACCGAAGGCAGAAAGAAAGGGAGATACATAAGCGCAATAGGCAGCTACCGCCCTCACATGTGTGAGATCCATCCCGACATTCTGAGTCAAGCCGTCGCACCAGACCATAAACGCCACCATCATAAGCACGCAGACAAAGGAGGCGTCATTGTAGTCGATTCGCTTGAAGCCTGCTTGAAGGAAGCGGGCGAAATCATCCAGGCAGGAATAACGGCGGAGCAGCTCGTGGAGATTGGAGAGCTCTTGATGGTCAAGAAAGCGAGCATGAGGGAAATTGAAATGGGAACTGGAGAGGGCGAGAAGGGTCTCCGGAGGTGGTTAGAGAGTGGAAATGTTATCTACAAGAGCGTAGGAATCGGGCTTATGGATATCTGTGTTGGCGAAGATTTAGTAGCGTTGGCGATGCAAAGGGGAATTGGGACTCGCGTGGAGGGGTTTTGAAAGGCCTGGACCTGCTCTTGAATTGCAAGTCGGAAAGGCTATCTACTGTTTTGCATAACAATGGTAAGCTTTACGAAGCAAGCGTCGGCGCTGGGGGGTTTGGGTGGCTTTACATCACAAAGCTTGGGGGTGATTAGATGTTGACACGCATAAATGGCAGCCGCAAAGGCCTGATCATTAATGATATTGTACGCCTTTGAAACGATTGGACTTATATGTAAAGATTACAGTGTGGATATCAAAACCCGAAACAAGAAATCCCAGCAGTGAAGAGAAGCCACCGAAGAGACCCGACTTATGTTTCCAGGCCAAGCCACCGAGCTTCCTTACCAAACCGCCAATATGTTGTAGTATTTAGACAGCCTAAAAATAAATCATCCGAGGTACATTTACTCGTTCGCCGGAGGAGCACCGCCCAGTGGAGCGTTACGACCAGCTGCCCTACGCTGTGCCTCCTGTTGCTGGACTGCTGGATTGGGGCCATTCCTCCTCGCACTACCCTCAATTAGTACCGTCCGCCCGTTGACCAAAAACAAGGGAATGTACTCACATAATCGTCCTTGACAACATACTGACCACAATCATAAACGCCCAGCTCGGAACCAAGCCGATGCCGAAAAGGGCATATCCAATCGCCTTGTTCACGCCCAGTTTCGCCAACTGCCCGTCGAACGGATCGAACCAGCCGTCGTACAGAACGCCCTCCTCGTACTTCTTCCCCGTGTGCAGCGCGACCATGTCCCCCGCCGTCGACCGGGTCACGTTGAAGTAGTTGACGTGGATCGTGCTGGCGGGAGTCGACTGGTCCGCCCGCGCGACGGGACGCCGAATGTGCCAGATCGTGGGCGGCTTGGCCATCCACGTCGAGCAGAGCACGCCCTGCTTGTCGCAGTCGACGTAGGCGAGGTTCGGCGCCGTCGGGTCCGCGGCGAGCACGGCCGCCGTCTCGTTCCATTCCCGCTCGAGCCGGTCGCAGAAGCCGCCGCAGGTCTTGTTGCCGCCCGTGACGAAGACCATCCACTCCTGCGGCGATTGCGCCGAGTTCGGGTCCGGGGTGAGCTCGGATTCGTAGTTGGCCATGGTCAGGGGGACGACCTTTGCGGCCGCGATCTTCGCCGCCGAGGCGGCGACGGGAGACTTGACGGCGGCGGGGACGGAGGGGACGGTGGTGGGGATGTAGCCGCGCAGGGAGTTGAACCAGTCTCCGGCTTGTTCGATGAGTGGTTTTTGGATGTCCTGGGCGGCTGCGAGAGCTGGCAGGGCGAGGGCGAGGGAGTGAGTGAGATGCATCTTTGCGGTCTTTCTATTTGGGGGGAGGGGAAAATCCGTGTGAGATAGGGTTGGATGGCAGCGGGAAGATGCTGGCAGAGGTAGCAAAAGGAGAGGGATTGATGAAGAGACGTTGCAGAGAGATAGAGGCTCGGGAGAAAGTTAGCGGTCGAGTCGCGCAATTGATGGTTTGCGCGCCAAGGCGACAGATAAGATTAACACTTGTCCTTCAGTAAAGTACTTTAAGACCGTTGCGCCTAAACCTCTAACCCGGCAACAATTGCCTTCCCTTTGTCTTGCCAAAGTGTAGCATTTCCATCCCCCCGTCTTTTCTTACACCAATCGCCTTCTCTGTTATATCAATTCCATGTAAGCAACTTCTATTCCTTAGCATCTCTTATCCTTGATTAAGTTGCCTCCCAAAGATGGCTTTTCCCGATACCCTTCACTAAGTCCTTGATGTCAGCCGCGAATCCATCGAGATAGATGTTGACCAGCATGACGATAATGAGGGCAAGCTTGGAGTCGCAGAAAGCGACGAGGATATAGCGTACGACGAGGATGACTATAGCAGAATAGATAACGAGGACGAAGACGATAACGACGTCGAAGGTGACGGGAATAAAGAAGACCAAGACAAAGAAGATGAACGTCATTTACTAACCCTGAATTAATAGAAGGTTGTAATTAAGGTACGTACTTAATCTTGGTATTTGATGAGCTTTCGGCGCTGATCAACTCTAGAAATCCTTCATGACGGCGTCCCTACGAGGTCCTGCCTCTGAGATAGTGGATGACCGCAGTCATCGCTTCTTTGGCAATCTGTACTAGAAGAACCGTCGGGATATCTTGCTCAAGCCAACCTTGACAATTATCTCCAGCTTCGCAAAGCGATCGAACCGCCCGAAAAGCGGGCCTGTGAAGGTATATTCCTAGGAGCTTAAGCCGTACTCGGCTCACTCTTCACAGCACACAATATTCCTTTCGACCAAGAAGAAGCGTTCGCACGCTTTCAAGATGCCAAGACTGGTACTTGGCGGCAGAAGTTTATTCAAAGAAGGCCAGAGGAGATGGTCCATACAGTTGGTGACATTAAGATGGCAGAGATCGCTCATCGACTCCATGATTCATCTTTAACCACTACCAAAGCAGGGAACGGAACATTGCTGATACTACGAATCTTTGCACGGCGCTCGTGATGGCGAACGCTTACAATGGGAACGGTATCCTCTTCGACCGTTGTTTGCGTAGAGAAAACGTGGATCCATTTGTTTACAATACCAAGGACATTCTTGCCCGCCACGAAGAATATTTGTCTCAGATTCGCAAAAGTATGCAGGCTCTTGTGTAGATCGTTTATGGTATCCCAACCTAGCAACGAATGAAACTTTTAGTTGAAGATAAGCTCCAAGCCCTTGATCTGTGGGGTAACTACGAAGGGATCACGATATACCTGGAAGAGGAAAAAGTCCAGGAGAAGCTTAGCGAAACTTCGCGCCTTTTACAAAGATTTCTAACGTCTGCGTTCCATCCACAGAACATGATGAAGGCATGGTCAAAGAGCCGTGCTGCTGGTCAACATAATTTGCTCGAAATCGGATATCGACTGGCTGGTGTTGGTTCATTGAACGTTTCTACGAAACACAGTTTTGGCGCAAGCAGGTAAAATTCTTGCCCTATGCTCAACCCAGCGTTAACAAAGCCATCAGAATTGAGTCGATAGAAGCCCTTCAGAAAGTGCGTAGTCAGAGACTGGATCACGAAAACTCGGCGACAAAAGCAGAGGTAGGAAAACTGTTGCGGAACTCAGTTTCTGCGTGAGAGAAAGAGAGAAGGGAGAGTACAGAAGCATTTCGCTCTGACGGATCTACTGAGAATGTGCATAGCGGGCCCATGCATTCGTCTCCGACAAAAAAGATCATCCTCGTTCCTAGATGGAGCAAGTGTACCTTCTCACATCCCCTAAAAGATGAAAAGGATGTTAGCGATCTACCACTTGAGGTCAAGTGCACATGTATCGTATGCCTAGACACCTCGAAATATGGAAAAAACAATTGCACTACCGTCATCGATCAGCAGCCATCGTGGGCCAGAACAACGCCGCCGGACTATGTCGAGAAACGCCTACAACATAAGAAGCAACAAATCTGGAAAACTCAGGCTGTTTCTGCCATTCAATGCAGATTTGGAGTCGTGGCCTCATGTGACAACTCAGACGATTTACAGGTATTATTACCACGGCCTTTCAGAGGGCGATCAGCTTCTGACGTTACAGCAGCCACCCTCTCTGCAGCGCGAAACCAGAGATGGCGGGTTCCCATCGGCCGAATAAATTAGAACGAACAGAATTCACCATCATCGCGACCGTGACTCAAAAGTGGACCCTGTGGATCAGAGGGTCACTCAGGGGCGGTATGCTTCCTCACGGTATTACGTAGCCCATGAATCAGAGAGCATGCAACATGAATCCGCTAGCGTGTAATCTTGTAATGAAAAACTTACGGGAGACTATCAAACCTAAAGGCTAGATCCGCGATGGGCTGCAGGATTTACAGTGGCATTCGCGTCGCTAAGGTACTCGTACGGAGGAAAAAGAGGTACGGTGAGTGATAAGAAGCATGTAATTTACGTCCAAAAATTGGGTTGTCAATATCATAACCTGGGACGGATTCTTCTCCGCTTGGACTTCATCTTTGAGATAATCATCATACTGCTTCGCCGTTGACGTGTGTCTGGTAGAGTACCGCGAGACCGGGGACATTTGCTCGCTTCTACATTTACAACATAGGTACCGGAGGTTACAAAGCAATCAGTTGGGGAAGCCGCGAAGATGGAAGTATTGGTCCTCGGACTCTGTCGGACTGGAACCACTAGTGCGTACCTGAGCGCCATCGAGGCAAGACATACTGACTGGGTGATGTAGCTATGACGATAGCACTACAAGACTTGGGATACGGAGAGGTGTACCACATGAGATCCGCTTATGCCAGCGAAAGGGATGTTGAGCTATGGATACAAGCCTTGGAAGCGAAGTACGAAGGCAAAGGATCCCCTTTGGGCAGGGAGCAATGGGACTCAATCCTCGGTCATTGCGAGGTATTGTCACCGACGTGTGAGTCTGTTGACGGTAAATAACTAAAGCCCAGGCTACCACCGACATCCCTGGTGCGTTCTTTGCCACAGAGCTGGTTGAGGCGTATCCCGAGGCCAAAGTCATCCTGACTACACGAACGCCGGAAAGCTGGCACGCGTCGATGATGCAGACTACCTGGGCAGTCTACCAAGACCGAGTGCGATGGATTGCTGCCAAGTTGGACGGTCCAACTTCACGACGCCGCCGCATGAGCGACTTGTTTTTCCAGCATTTCTTCGGTCACAATTTTCCCCGTACTGGTAAAGAGGTCTTCATTGAGCACAATGTTGCTGTCCGGCGTCTTGTACCGGCCGAGCATTTCCTGGAACATCGGGCAACGGACGGCTGGGAGCCTTTATGCAAATTCCTTGGTAAAGCTGTTCCGCAAGACAAGGCATACCCAAACACAAACGATGTGAAGTCCTTCCGTTCGAGGTTCCAAGCAATGAACAAAGGAATTTTCATCCAAGTCCTGACGTCGTTGGCCCCGAAGGCGGTACCGATCGTAGCCATCACTAGCATATTGTGCTGGATGTTCTGGGCAAGTATTTAGTATTTTTTGGGTCTTTGAGTGGATATTCTGGTCTATGTATGTTGTACTGAGGAACCATATAGTCTCAACTCATCTGTCCAGGAACTGCAGATATCTGGGTCACCTGAACGAGATCAGCTGAATAGCTTGGTTTGCCTGAGGATTTTGTTCAGGAATCCTATAGAGGTCTTCTTCCAATGACTGTGACTCTGTCTTGGTTAATGGCAACACCTTTCCGACACTCCAGGTCCGCTTTGATGAGGCTCTCGCGGAGAGCTTGTCCTTTGCCATCACCTAGACGGTCCAAAGCACGATAGCTCATCTCCTCAAGTGCCAACAGAATGACATCATTGTGTAGCAGTAGATGCGTGAGATCTGTTCCTTTCCGGTGTTCGAAGACATCTATCAATCCACCTTCGCGAAACGTCCTGGGCAGATCGGCAACCCACCTATAAGTGTTATCTTTATAACCTCAGATGTTTTAGCACAGCACATGGTATTCTCACTTTGGATGCATTCTAGTATCATTCTGTCTAGTAGGTGCGTCGATTGCGGCGGCGAGGTTTGCGGAAGAGTTGGAGGATTGGGCATGAACAATACTGGCAACGATCTGTCAGGACATACACTTTCGCGACGGTGTTTGACCGTTTCTGGTACATACTACCTTGAAGCCAGATCGTATTCGGCCCATTGGATGTAGCCTCCAGGCTCTATCAACGTCGCTGTCCATAAGCGAAATATTATCCAATAGGTTCATGATTCACCAATCGAAGGGTAAAAGGTAGAAATTGTACGCACTGAGCATTTGAATGAACGTCTTCAAGAGCGGCATCGGGTCATTGTTCTGGACAATTAAGAGAAAAAGGCGGATGTGGAGGATGTCGTATTTCCCGATAAGGTGTTCGGGAAGGTCGGCAAACGCATGCCAATCTTATATATTGACATTATTAGATAGCCATTCATTGGGTGGGCAGTGAGAAAGGTTGTTGTCGAAGCCGTCCAGTTGGGCGGAAGATGGTAACGTTCGAGCCACCTCAAGCAGCCAAATTCTGGTATCCGGACGTTATCGTCAGTCCTGACGGCTCTCTCTATGGCGTGGAACCATCAAACAGGTGGGACGCAGACCCTGTGCCGGTGCCAATATCGGCGATCTTCAATTCCGAACTCGATGTTGGAATACTTGGGTGCAGATTGTACCCCATTTGATCTTTCCAAAAGGAATGTTGTAAATTCAGCCTACATGCCACGGTCAGAGTCCAGTCTATTGGCACAAGTTAAGAGCGAACTTACCTCGCAGTTCCTTGGTAGCCAGTACCTAGCATATATTCATGGGAATACTGATCTGAGCTACTGCCTGCCATTCTGGCAACGAGGAACAACAAGACCAATGCTTCAAGACAGTCTGGAGTCGAAGGGCAGCTGCGAGGTACAGTCGAGTTGAAAATTGGGATGCTTCAATGTGTGGCGTTCGAGGATGTGACTGTTTAATCTTTCCGCACTAATGGTACTCTACTGAGATCCGCCGCCTCTACAGCATTTTTCTCCCCGTAATGATTTCCATAATGGGGCTCGGAAGACTTGGGGCTGGGCTGCAATATCATTTGCGTTACATACTAAGAGAGTATGGCAAATTCATGCATAGAAGGAATCTACAAATGCGGGCAGCCTTCTAGAAAAGGTGACAATTATAAACAAACCAACCATAACTTACCGTCCTTGTTAGTGAAGGGAGTTTTCTTCCAGCTGCCTTTGTCCAAAATCTCTTCAGGTAAACAGTCAACATAGTCTGGCTCATAACCACAAAAGTATGCGAAAAACAGAAAGAAGAAAGCCACCAAGATTTGACGTTGTCCACTTTAACAACTTGCTGACTGTAGAGCTTTGATACATTTTCAGCTTCCACCTCCGTGAATCCTCGGATTCTCGCACACCTAATTTTCCCCTCTATGCACGACTCCTGCTGGACCCTCTTACGAGCTCCGGGCACCTTTGTGGTCAACTTCTCCGCTCTGCAGTGCGTTCATGTATGCATCAACTACGTTGTGGGATGCTTTGTTGGACATCCAGTCAAAGTGTCTGTGGTTATGAACGTTTATCGGTTTGCATTGGGGCTTTTTATTCCGTTCTCTTTCGAACAATGGATCGAAGCTGGTAGTAGTGGCTGGGTTTTCGGCATGGTGTCGTTTTTTTTGTTGTTTGCGATGATTCTTATGTTTTTTTGCTGAGCTGGAAAAGGAAGACGTTGCGCGGACTAGTCCTCCTGCAAAGAAATTGTGGAGACTGGGGAGGGGGAAGACACAATTATCTGGGATCTTGGATCAGCTTGGCAGGAAAAGACTGAGTACAGTATTCAAGAGCAAGATGGTTTCCAGGTCACGCGACTGTTCTATCGAAAGTCCTCGCCGTTAGCGGTCGAGTCGCGAGATTGATATAGCTATTGCGCCAAGATCAGCCCTACCGTCAATACTTGCCTTATCTTTTCGCGGTACCTCGGTGCGAAGGTTTATCTTTCCTCGTTGGCTTGGCGTACATGAAGCTCAACCTCTGTCTCCAGCCTCCTCGAGAGCTGGAGGTCTGCGTTATCTGAAGGTGTCCACTATTTTACATCGGCCCTCAGAATTACAGTCAGACTGCCTGTGCTTCTCCAAGCTAATTGAGCTCATAGCGAATAGCGATACTCTTCCCTAGCGTTCGCTGCAGTTGTTCGTGCGGAGCTTGTGCAACAGTCATGGAGGGTAGAAGGAGTTGGACTGGACGAGGCAATTGGGTCTCAATGCTCTTCTGTATATATATGGCGCTGTCGTTGGGAGGGTTTGTCTCTGCAGCTTCGCTCAATCAGCGGCAGGCTGGTATGTACCCACTGACCAGACTGTCGTTGCTTCAATTACATGTTTGATGCTAACAAACCGCTTCGCAGATGACTTCTCAGCGGAGAATCCCGACGACTCAGACACTTCTGGCCTGCCAACAGGTGTTGCAGCTAGTGCGCCAGTGCCAATTGCGAATACGACCGCAGCTTCGAATGGAACTGTGAAGGCTTCGTCCCTCTCTTCTGCTGCTGCGGTAGCCACCACCGCGTCCAGTCCTCTCAACAACACGAATGATCCGAACATGTGCCATAGGACATACACAACGGACCCAGAAGGTGCCACGGATATCGCTAATCCCTTTTGCAAGCCAGGTGATGGACAAGACGTATACCCAAATATCCCGTATCAAGGTAGGTCTCAGCTTGAATGTCCTGTGGAGAGCACATGCTAACACCTCGCAGTGACTTGGGACCCCTCCCTCTTCGAAGACGGCGCAAATAATACAGTACAAGTCTACAACGTCGACGCCACCGGCCTCAACTCTCCAGCCACCGCAGACATACTCGCATCGGGCAACGCCACCAACTTTGAGGGTTCCGTCTTCCTCAACATGTCTTCCGTTTGGCTCAACGGCCAACCAACCGCCAATCTCACCCTCTCCCTCATAGTCGACAAGGGAGACGACGATCCCAAAGTCTTTGGCGGCCCCATCTTCACCCTGCTTTCCACCTCCGATTCCGACTCTACGCACTCCGCGCCGTCGTCCGCCTCTTCGAGCAGCAACAAGCTCGGCGAAAAAGTCGGCCTGCCCGTCGGCCTTGTCTTCCTCATCGTTGCTGCCATCGCGGTGGCGCTGTTTGTCTGCTTCCGCAAGCGGAGAGGCCAGGGTTATGGCACGGGGAAATCGCTTCGTCAAAGAGTCGGTAGTGGTACCGCCAGGGGACATAGAAGGGACGCGAGCTTCCACGACGAACCCACCAGGGGAGTGGAGTTGAAGGATAGGAATAAAGGGCTTACCGGGGAATCGCCAGAGGACAATTGGGACTGGGGAAGCCCCGTCAGCAGTCCGTCGAATGCCGGTGGTGCGGGCAACGCGTTTCGGGATGAGATTCAGAGGCAGAGGAGTGGGCGGTGAGGCGGGGCGAGATCCGGTTCGAATCTGAACGGATGAGTGCGGAAAATTTAGACCGATGAGTGCTTATACCTTGACGTATATAACGACTCTTTTCTTGTCATCAGTTGCGCGAGTACGTAACTGCCTTTGAGCCTTACGAAGATATTGACATGAATTCTATTTCGATCTGGATGTGTGATCTATGCTTTGCTGTTGGCTGCGATCTAAGTCATTGTGACTACCTCGGGGAATGCATCGACTGTGGATGTAATCTTTCATGCCATCTCAAAAACGCGTGGCATTCCCCCATGATAATTTCCTCCGATTTAAGTTTTGCACCTTCCATACCGAGTCTTCATCACTCCATCTCAATCCACGAACTTGACCCCCTTTCCCCCGCTAACGTCAATCGCTCCGCCCCTGTAACTCCCCCTCTTCTTCTTATTCTTCTCCTTCGTAAAGCCTTTTCCCTTCGTCACACTCAGATCCTGATGTGCCCTATCCGCGTAGTCGTAAGAGCGGTACGCATTCGAAGCCATCTTAGGGTCTACGGGGGTGTCTTGAGGAACGCGCTGGAAGGGCGTGTTCTGCTTCTTCGTGAACTTGGAGGCTTTAGGCGTGGGAGAGGATGAGCGCTTGCGTTTTGTGCTGGTAGTCGTAGTGGTGACGGTGGTAACAGCCTGTTGGTCGGCTGAGGTCAAGGAGTCGGAAGAAGAGGTCGATGACAGGCTCGTGTTGGCTGCGGAGGGTTTTTGCGCCGAGCTTGCCTGGAGAGTTACGCTGGAGTCACTGGATACTTGGGTAGGCTTGGCGGTCACGACTTTGGTTGTTTTGGTGACTGTTGGTTTCGGAGGCTTGGAGAAATCGACTTCTGAAGACTCGCCATCTGATGAGATTGACTCCGAAGAGGATGATGATGAGGATGCTTCTGCCTTCGTGGTAGTTGTCGTGGTCAGTGTTGATTTGGGAGCCCCATTATCAAACTCGCTGTCCGATGATGAGCTATCTGAGGAAGGTCCTGACTCCGCTTTGGCGATCGCTGTGGTAGCTGCGGCAGGTTTGGCAGGTTTGGCAGGTTTGGCAGCAGACCCGCTGTCTGATGACGAGGTATCCGAAGAAGAGGAGGACTCGGCAGATGGTTCGGAAATTGGGACGCTATTTTGAGGCTGCGGGATGACATTGAAGATAGAGCTGGATGCGTCTTTTTTCCCTGATACTGCCTGGAGACCTGCAGAGGAAGAAGTGTCGGAGTCTGATTCTGATTCGGAGCTTGAAGAGATACCGGGGCTTGCTTTGCGCTTGAGGCTGTTCACTAATCCGTTGACTGTCGGCTTGGGTGAAGCTGTATGTAGAACTAGCTGTGCGCCAGCATTTTCTTTCTCGTCGTCGGCATCGCTGTCCGAACTTGAGTGTGATGTAGATATCGATGATGACTTTATCTTCGACAATTCGCTAGACTTCTTGGTGGGCTTCTGAGCTGGAGTCGCATCCTTCATCTCTACATCCTCGTCACTGCTCCCACTACCACTGCTACTCGTGATGTCTTTGGCAATGACCTTGGCCGCTGCAGCTTCACTGGCCTTGGCTTCCGCTTTCACTTCCTTTTTTGCCTTTTTGGCCTTTTTCGACTTCTTGACTGCCTTGGCGTCGTCGCTATCGTCACTATCGCTGCTACTGGTCTCTTCCACTTGTAGCTTTTCCTGGTAACCCTTGTACCATTCTTTGAAGATCTTGACCAGGTCTGGGAACCCTTTCGGCAGCTTGGCCCCTAGCTCAATCTTCCATGCATCTAGCTTCTTCCTTGATTGTAATTGAGTGGTGTAAAGGCGCGAAGTGTGGTGGAAACCGTAAGAACTTAGAAATGCCCCCACAAGGCTGAGCAGTAGATCCGGAGGTGGAGCCTTCATTGGTGCGGTGACTGATGTGTACTGCAAGAATCTGATAGCCTGGTCTCTTTCCTTCTCATCTTTGCTTATATGGGCCTCTGACTTTGGCTTCGGATTTATGACTGGATTCTCTTCATCTGGAGGAAACATCCATTCTGGTTGTGGTTTGTCTGGTGCATTCTTCTTTTTCTTCTTTCGAGGAGGCTCTGAGCCTTGTGCGGGCAGCTCGAACTCTGGCTTGATCTCCACAGACGGTTTCTTTGATTTGGTTGGCATTTCGATTGTTGAATGAGTCGTGCATTGTGATAAATTGGTGATTGCGGAGCCCAAAGAAAATAGAAATCTTGACAAGCCGGCTCGTGCGCGGGTAGACCCGCTAGCGTGGGCGGTGTTAGCGTATAATGGACTGTCTCGCCCTGAGATGGAAGGAACCACCTTCCAAAGATCGAGTACTTGACTTGGCAACGCCTCGTCTTCAGCACAAGCCTTTGCCTTCCGAAAATCTACCTATGTGTGGCATGCGATTCAACCAAAGCCGTCCAAATGAGCCCCGCGCGGCGAGCATCTGCCCTCGATGAATGTCAGTACTGCCGGGCAACGCCCGCGCGGTCCTCCGAATGGGCTAGGCCCTGGTGGGAGACCAGTCCAAGATCATCGCAATGGCAGTAACATCAGTGCAATGAGTTCGGCCTCCGCAAATGATTCTCGGAATCGTTCAGGCTCAGAGATGAGCCGGGCGGAAACATTCGAGGACGAGAAGAAACGCATTATCGAGAGCTCTTTCGCCAAGAAGGAGGCAGATGGATCGGGTCAGCCGTTCAACGTGTGGCCGAAGTGTTTCGTGAACTGACAACGTCATAGCATCCGAGTCATACATAACGCACATTCGTATTGTGGAAGATGCAGCATACCCGTCCAGCCCCCCGCCTCTTGAATCTCCACCGGACAACAAAAAAACACGAGTGATCATTGTCGCCGTAAAGAGATCGGGACGCGTGCGAATGCACAAGGCGAGGGAGAACGCCAATGGAACCTTCTCGATTGGAAAGACTTGGGTATTGGACGACTTGGAAGTGATCGAGTCCTTTACCAATGCAGTCCCGCAGACTGCTGAGCAGCAGCAGAACAAATCTAGGGCAGGGCCGACTGGGTTCATCGTGACTGTACAGAAGCCATACTATTGGAAAGCAAATACTGCGAAGGAGAAAGACTTCTTCATCTTCAGCCTCATCAAGATATATAGGAAGTATACCGGGGGAAAGCTACCGCAGCTCATTGGCTTCAGTTCGCAGGAACTTGATCAATTAAGTGGAACTTCGGGACCGCAGAATGGTGCACCAACGGCAGCGCGGCCCAATGCACCCGCAGGAGAAAGTGTCAGAGTGCCCAGTCAAGAGCCTTCAGTCATACGAGAACCACCAGTAGAGACAAGTCGAGAAAGGAGGCAACGTCCATCTCAAGAACGCCCGTCTCAGGAGCGCCCATCTCAGGAACGCCCATCTCAAGAGCGCCCTCCCGAGGAGCGCGTGCTTCACAGTGCCGTTGCGCAAACTCGCTCTGTGCGGTCAGCAGGCAGTAACGAGCGCATTCATATGCCTGGCGCATTTCCCTCCACAGACTCTATACAAGACCCATCGCCCCAATCATCACAGCATCAGCTGAAGACCAACCGATCCGAGTCGCCAGCTCTGCGTAATGCTGTCCCACAACCTAAATTCTCCAGACCTTCTGCAGGACAGAGTACAGATTCATTCCAAAGTGGCCGTGAAACTCAACCCGCTCCTCTGCAGCCAAGTGGTCGATCAAGCAATGAGAGAGTAGGCCAAAACGGAACATATGCAACAGGGGTTACCCCGGGCCCCGACCGCCCGACAATAGCACCAGATAGGCCAGTGAATGCTGTAAAGGACATCCCGACTCCAGTACCACATGCTAAAGAATCCACGCCCGCCAAGCAGGCAATAGCTCTAAACTTCAATCCAGGCTTGAACGACAACTCCCCGGACCAAGCAACCACTCCCAAGGGATCTCTTGACCTGCGGAATGGCAATATGCGAGACCATTCAATCCCAGGGAGAGACTCCAGCCAAGGCACTCGTGGGCTGCCATCTTTAAATCAATCAGAATCGAGTGAAGACAACTTTCCAAACGAGACGCGATCAACAACAGCGTCAAGTCATGTTGCTCAAAGTAGTCAAACTACAAACCAAGAAGTCAAATCATTAGAGCCAGCAGCCCATGATGATGGTATCTCAACCCCTCAGCCATCTGTCACAAAATTCCCACCAACCCCCCCTCCAGAAACTCCAACAGAAGAGGAGCACCGACCTGGGCTTGGGCCGATGATAAAGAAGAAGAAGTCGACCACGGAGGTTGCGTCAAAATTTCGAAAAGCCGCCACCGCCTACAATGCTTTCAAACCTCGCGCTGGTGGTGCCGCGGAAAAGGTAGCCAATGACAAGACGGCCGGTGGTGATGGCATCACAGGTGTTTTTCAAGCACCATCTCTTCTCAAGGGTATCAGCCAGGACGACGTTAGACCGGCGACACCCAAGCAGAGCCTGGAGAATCGACCATCGACGCCCGATGTTAAAAGGGAGATTCCAACAGTGCAGATCACCACTTCTCCCGCGAAACCCGTCACGCCAGTGCCTCCAGAGCCTGTGCCACAGAAGCCTTCGGAACTTGTCTTGCAGAAGAGTTCCGAGAACGAACAGCGGCCACCAATCGCAGAAAAAGCTCAAGAGGATCGTCGTAAGAAGCATCGTTCTGACCATTCCGCCAAATACGCCAAAACATTGGGCATTAATGCTGGTCTATTAGAAGGCCGGACTTTCGAGATCGAAGAGGTACTGAATGATTTCGGTTGGGGAGAAGAGGGAAGCGGACGGGCGACATTCGAGGAGCTTGAAAAGGGTATCCGCAAAGAGATTGCCCGAGTGGAGGCCGGCAGCTGGCTAAGTGCTGTGGAAAACAATGACGAACGTGTCGTGGCAGTAGCTGAAATGATGGACCGAGTTGTAGCAGAGTGCGATGAGCTCGACAACCTGCTTACTTTGTACAACGTCGAGCTGGGGGTATGTTTGATCTACTGCTATTTTGGAGAGCACTGCTGACTACAGGCAGACACTGAGCGAGGACGTCGCATACATTGAGGCTCAGTCACAGGGCCTGCAGGTTCAGACAGCTAACCAAAAGCTCCTCCAAAACGAGCTGAAGAATCTACTGGACACAGTATCTATTTCAACTGCGGACCTGAGCAAATTGAAGAACAACTCTTTGAGCACCACTCGCGAGGTTCAGGAAGTCGAATACACTCTCGCACAACTTTATGCTGCGATGTTGACAATTGACCCCAAGCTTCGTCACAATGATAGCAAGTCAGTGACTGTCGATCAAGCCAGCCTGCATCGAAGCAGCAGCACTGGACATGGAAGCACGGAGCTCAGCTCCATGCACGCCGTCCGCGAGAAGAAGGAGACATTCCGCCGAGAGAGCGTTGATTTTATACAACGGCTAAAACGGCATATGTCAAAGATGTTCCAAGATGTGGAGCAGCAAACGAAAGACGCTTTGGATAGCAATCGAAACAACAAGGTCTCAGCAAATCCTACCAAGCTCGACCATCATTTACGGGATGCGCCAAAACAAGACTTGTGGCTGTATTCACCGTTGATACTTTTCGCACGTGAGATGGAGATGTCTGAGTGGGAGGATCTTTTGCGTATTTATGAAAGCCGGATCAAGACCCAATACCAGGGAGAGTTCGGCGATAATTTCTCCGCTTGGAAACGGGCCACCAGAAAGCAGTTAGGAGATGAGCAAGATGTTCTTTTTACGACCCAAGAGAAGGAGAATGAGAGCCTGGTTGGACGCAAACTGACCGTGAAACGATCCAAGACCGTACGCGCAGGAGACCGAATATCAAGTGGCGACAAGACGAGAGACGGCAAGGTCACCGCATACGAAGCCTTTGCGGGTGCTTTGACGGAGACGGCTAGAGTCATCTTCGTGGAACAGAACTTTGTGGTCGACCTCTTCCATGCATCGTCACTTGATACCCAGGATTTCATCGACGCACATGCTATCGAACCCGCGCAGCGAAAAACTGGAGACCTGATGGTCAAAAAGCCCTTTGACCCTGATCGCAACGTGGCCAAGACTGTGTCGGGGGTCATGGAAGAGATCTATTCGTTCTGGCCGACTGAGCTGCAGAGTCTTGCTGACTGGACCATCAAGCAGGATGCTATGAATGGCGTTGGCGTCCTCTTCGCCCTCGAGTCTCAGCTTCTCGAGGTCGAAGAAACCAATCAAGAGTTCCTGACCCAAGCTGTCACTAGAATCCGCGACCGTCTGGTCACTAAATTTGCTCACTTCATCAATGAGCAAATCCGTGGCATCGAAGACACTAAAGTCAAAATCAAGAAGCGAAAGGGTGTCATCGCATTCATAAAGACATTCCCCAACTTTTCTATCGCTCTTGAAAACATGCTTCCGCCAACTCGCTCTCTCGACCACCTTCCTGTACGCGCCACGGTCAATGACGCCTACAATAGAATCAACAAAGCCATGTTCGAAAGCCTGAAATTCATTGCAAAGGAAAGCCCGACGGCGACGCAAGCTGCTGCGACTGCAGGTGATCCTGAGGATAAGGAAGCCCTCAACTACCATATCCTCCTCATTGAGAACATGAACCACTATATCGAGGAAGTAGCCGTCCGGAAAAACCCCATCCTCGAAGACTGGAACTTCCGCGCGCGCGCCGAGTTGAACGAGCACATGGAGCTGTATCTCGCTGCCGTCATACGTCGACCTCTGGGCAAGCTTCTAGACTTCCTGGAGTCCACCGAATCACTTATACGCAACAATCCTGGCTCTCCAACCTCAATAGCCACACGTGCCTCCCATTCGCGCTCCACCTTCAAGAAGATCCTCTCTAGCTACGACGCAAAGGAAATCAAACGAGGTATCGACACCCTGAAGAAGAGAGTAGACAAACACTTCGGTGACGGTGACGACACGGCTGGCTTGTCTAGAGAACTGGTCACCAAAGTTTTCAGAGAGTGTGAAGGCAGATACCTTCAGATTGGAGAGAGAGTTAGCAAAGTGGTCAAGGATGTGTACGAAAGCAGTCTCGAGGTCGAGTGGAGAAGGGAAGACGTCGTTTCGGCTTTCAGACGGTAAAGGGAGGGTAGAGTGGTTATGTATATATTGACGGCCAATTGCAGGCGTAGCGTGGTTGTCTTGTTCTGTCTTCGATGGGACTGATACAGGGTGTCATTATTTTTCACCGATATAGGGATGCATTACCGGTGGATCTCGCTTCGGAGATGTCCGGGCGGCATAGGGTTGAGGGATCTCGTCCAACGTTTCACAGCATATTACGGCCGTCGCATAACGAGGGGTGCTGTGGTCTTCCAGCCCTTGATGGGATTACTGCGTTGTATATACTTTTCCATTGAGCGAGATACCGAGCCAGACCCGACCGAGGCTAACCTCACACCTTTCCAGCTCACCACACATCAATGTAGACATTACCAATGCAGTCGGGCATGCCGTATCGCTGTTCTGCTGAATGTAACCAGCTTTCCCACTTGCCTCCTGCTCTATTTGTACATCACCGTCTCCCAAAGAGTCCCTTTATCTTAGCCAACACCCCCCCTTCCTTTTCTTTCTTCTTCTCCTCCGCAGCCCCAGCTCCGGCCTTCACCCGCTCAAGCTCCTCACCAGCACTCCTCAGCCTCTCCGTCGCCACCTCCAACCTCTCCCTCCCCCCTCCCCCCGCTTCCTCCGCTTCCTCAATCTCGGCTTCCACCACCTCTTCTATCCTCGCCACTTCGGCCAACATCGCCGACGACTCCGCCTCCCGATCCGAGTCTCGAGCGAGCCCCTTCACAGCCTGCTCTGCTCGCCGCGCCCGTTTTTCGCCCTTGGTGTAGTGACGAACGGGGGGTTCGGTAAGGGTGCCTGCTTGGTTCTCATCGTCGGGCTGGGAAGGGAGAGCGTCGGCGACGAGGGAAGGTTTCGTTTTTTGGGCTTGACGGGCGGCTTCGGCTACGGTTTCGGCTTCGATGGCCTCGGTGGTGCGGTTGATGTGGTCTTCCAGTGCTGTAGGTTCGGGTGACGGAGGGTCGATGGAGGTTTCCACATGTACTGCTTCTTCTTTTTCCTCTTCTTCTTCTTCTGCTTCTGAGGGACCTGCTTTGGCGCCTTGGATTCGCCCGACGACCTCCCCACTCGCCCTCTCGACTTCGTCTTCCAACGTGTCCGCCCTCCTCCCTTCCCCCTCCAGCGCCGTCGCCACTCCCCGCCCCACCAACCCCAACGCCGCCCTCTGCTCCTTCACCCTCCTCCTCACCTTCCCCGTCCGCATGACCAACCACCGCAACCTCCACCCTTCCACCCCCAACTCCTTGATCCGCCCCGCCTTCTCCCCCAACAGGTACTCGTCCAGGCCCCCGCACTTGTCGATCGTCCGCAGCACCCGCGCCTGCACCTTGACCTGCACGAACCGCGCCAGCCCGTCGCTCCAGAGCCGCTTGTTGTGCATGTTGGGCCGCCAGGCGCGGCGCGTCTTCACGGCGTTCTTGTCGGACACTTTGTTGCCGAAATGGATTTTCGCGCCGCCGTAGAGGCCCGAGTCGGATTGTTTGTAGTGCAGGGCGGGGCCGTAGGGGTAGGGGGGTGGGCCTTTGGTGTAGCCGGGGGCCGGGGATTGAGTGGCGGGCTTGGGGACGTGGAGGGTGGTGGAGAAGGGGCGGAGGCAGCGGAGAGATGGATGTTTGGGGAGGGCCATGGTGGTGAGGAGCATTTTGTGGGGGGTGGGGGAGGTTTGGGTGGTGGTTGAGAAGAAAGGCGTGGACGAAGTTCCTGCGTGAAGAGGCTCTGTGTTTTGGGAGTCGGCTATAGGATGCGAGATATTATAGGTTAGTGATAGACTTGTAAATGGCAAGATACATCTCCACCGGCAGAAAAAGGGCAACGATTGACAATTGGAGTTGGCATGTCATGAAGCTCGATGGCAGCTCAGCCGTCGTTGAAATGGCAGAAACAACGCCAAGGAAATCTCAGCCCTATCAAAGTCTCAATCTCAACTTCCATCTCTCGTCCTGAACCAATCCAGTCGACACAATCCATCACCACAGCAAATCCCACCTCCCACCACCACCACCACCAAACCCCAAATGACCACCCTCCCCGACCGCCCCCTCCCCTCCACCGCCTCCTACATCCTCGCCACCTTCATCCTCGCCGCCTGCGCCGGCTACTTCCTCGGCCAAGCCTCCTCCCTCGGTCTCTTCTCCCCCCGTCCCAGCCTCCCCGCCGCCGCAAAGTCCACCAAGAACCCGAGCTGGCCCAACAGCTACGATGTCGCCGTGCACCCGGACAGCTCGGACGAGGAGCTCATGACGCGTCTGAGGGGGGGGAAGGAGGGTGCCGGGGCTGGGGTGCGGCGGGTTGGGGATGGCGAGGAGGAGGATGGGAGTGGGAGTGGGAGCGATGAGAGTGAGGATGGGAGCGAGGGTGCGCGGGAAGAGCGGGGCGCGCTGAAGTCGTTTGAAGAGAATGAGGGGGAGGAGTGCAAATTGGTGTTGGTCGTGAGGACGGATTTGGGTATGGGTAAAGGTATGATACGGATAAATCTGTTTTCACCTCCCTGCTTTCAAATCTCGTTTTGATTCGAACATTACCTTTCCGAACGCATGGGCTTCTCCGCCTCTTCTCCTCTTCTCAATTCTCCTCAAACCAACCCCCCAAACAAACCCAAATCTAACCCCCCCCCTCCCCCCCCACAGGCAAAATCGCCGCCCAATGCGCCCACGCCACCCTCGCCTGCTACAAACACCTCCTCTCCTCCTCTTCCTCCTCTTCCTCCTCTTCCTCTTCCTCCTCTTCCCATCCCTCCCTCCTCCGCCGCTGGGAATCGACCGGCCAGGCGAAAATCGCCCTCCAGGTGCCGAGCGCGGACCAGCTCGAGCTGCTGCGCGCCCGGGCCCGGGACCGCGGCCTGTGCGCCCGGGTCGTGCGCGACGCGGGCCGGACGCAGGTGGCGAGCGGGAGCGCGACGGTGCTGGGGGTGGGGCCGGGGCCGAGGAGCGTGGTGGATGGGGTCACGGGGGGGTTGAGGTTGTTGTAGGAAAGCGGGGGAGGGGGGGTTTGGGGTGAGATGAGATGAGATGGTACGAACGCGGAGAAGCTGTAGAAGCTGGCGATGTGAAAATGAGAAAGAAAAAAAGATACCCAAGATCGGAGTGGTTATGGTACTGGTGGTGGATATTGAATGTATACCGCTCTTCTGGTTCTATCAATGCCAGCAGGGCCACAGTGGAAAGCTTCGTTACCCCCAAAGAGTCCACAAAGCACATACATCAGGCCAATCTCACACCAGCCTGCCTGTTCTTCTTCTGCGTAGTCCCCATCGCATTGTTCATCCCCGTCGCCTGGCTGCTGTCCAGCGTACTCTGCGCTTCCCTCTTCTTGTCATCCTCGATCTTCTTCAAATGCTTCTCCGTCTTCTGCTTCCCGCTCCCCTTGCCGTGGAACTGATGGCTCAGATGCTTGAAGGCCTCCTTCTGGTTCATGCCCCGTCCGAACTCGTCCACGTACTTCAGCTGCACGTCGGGCTTGTACTCGCGGTTGAAGATCTCCGTCATCTGCCGAGACTCGAGTTGGTCGCGCATCTTGTTCTCTTGCCGTGCATACTCTTCCCGCTCACGAGCGGACATGCGGTCAAGTTTGCCGGTGGCTCGGTCCCGCTCTCGTTGCTGGCGGGCTTTGGCTTCCACGGCTGCTTCGCGCTTTTGTTTCTCCGTGAGGAATTTTTGGCGGTCGCGGTGCAGGGCGTTGATGTCGGTTTCCTTGTTCTGCTTGATGAGGCCACGTTGTGAGAGCATGGAAAGTGTGGCACCGAGGCCTTGATTTAGGGTTGCGTCATCTTCGAGCCCGGTGTCGGTCATACCAGGTGCAGCGGACGTTGAGGTTTCGCGCTTGACGCGTGCTTCGAGGTCTTCGCCGTCTTCGATGTCGTTGTAGGATCGACCCATGTCCACGTCTCCGTCTTCGTCTTCAGGAGACGCCTCTTTTTTGGCTGGCGTGGCACTGCGGGCTTTGACGATTTGAGGGCGAGCTTTCCCCTCTTCCTTAGATCGTGCTAGATTGGCTACGAACTCTGTAGTCTCATCAATGATCATACCACCCTCTTCTGGTTGGGCTTCTTCTTCAGGCGTAGCTGCTTCCTCTCTGATCCTTTGCGCAAGATCCTCCGGCTTTTCTCTTTTCCGCTTCTTGAGGGCCGCTCGTCTTTGCACAGCTAGGACGGCCTGGAGATCTTCGTCGTCAGCAAAAGAAGTACTTTCAGTCGCCTTTGACTGAGCCTCTGGAATCTGTGAGTTGCCGGCATCAACAACCATGGCGTCCCCATTTGTTTGAGTGCCGTTGCTTGTCTCTACCGGAAATATGTCATCCTCATCAACAGCCCTTTGCCGCGTAGTTCTGGCCTTTTTCTTCTTCGGTTTCTTGATCTTGGCTTCTGTTGCCTCTGTATAATCTGATATCGGCGCGTCTTTGAGAATATCAAGGCTAATGGCTGTGGATTTTAACTTCCTCCCAACCGCTTGCTTCATCGCTTCACGCTCCTCCAATGATGCTCCCTGCCCATCCAAGGTAAAGCGCTTACGCTTTTTGCCATCGATCGTCTCGTCATAATGCTTCAGAATCGTCGAGCCGCCTTCTTCAATTTCAGCATGGGGGTCGTAGACGGGCTTCTTGATCTTCGAGCTCAGCCTCTCGGTCAGTGCCTCTCGCTCTTTCAGGTCCAAGTTCTCCAGTTCATCCCCTTCCTCTTCGTTCTGATCGATCGTGGAATCTTTGAGTGTCAGGACCTGCTCCTCACCACCCTCGAAATCTTCCAGCTCGTGGGCGACTTTCACACCGGCGAGATCCTCAGCCGTATGCTCCGGTGCATTCTCCCGTTCCGCCAACTCCTTCTCCAGCTTCGCCAATCTCTCCTTCTCAAGCCTCTTCCTTCTTTTCTTCTGCTGAAGCAACCAAGTCTTGGTATCGAGGTCTTCCTTCTCATCAGCCTCGCCCAATCCCTTTCCTTCCAGTTTGGAAAACTTCTTGGCGGCATCTCGAGCTTTCTTGATGGCCTCATTCTTCGCTTCTCGTTGCGCTTTAGCATCTGCTTCTTTCTGCAGCTGGTTCCAATTGTCGTACCCTTGTGCTTGCCTTGTTTCTAGCGTACTGCCCTTCTCCTCTTCCTCCTCCGATGAGCTCCCGGCGCCTTTGGAGGCTTTGAATCGGGGTCCGCCGCCTGGGACGGGGAGGAGGGCCATCCCGAGGGATGCCCGGATGCGGTTCGTCTCTTCGATATCCATGATGGTAAATGAATGGACTCGTAAGGAACAAGAGGATGAGAGATGGGTCAGTAATGACGACGAGTATCCGTGGTGTGAGTCAGTTGACAGTCAGAGGAGCAGCAAGAGTGAAGTTCGATGAGGCGGCAAAAGTTCCGTAGCCGCCTAGCGCAAAAAAGTCTTGGCGCACATATAAGAAAGATATTTTTTTCTTCTCTTTCCGCTCCCGCTTCCTTCCAAAACAACATGAGATCTGTGTCAGCCTCCCGCAGCCCTCTTCCCCTCGGGGACCTGGTGTCGTTCGGTCGAGACTGACAACTCGACGTCAAGGAGCCGCTTTTCCTCCACGGAGGAAAACCCCATAGCGTCAATCTTCCGGTCGACAGGTCTCAAATCGAATCGGTTTTGCCTTTCTTCGAAGCCTGAGCTCCCGTCCGGTGAGCTCGGTGGAGGGGGGGGGCTTGCCGAGGACGTCATATTCCACCACGTTCCTGATGGGGCGTCGTCTGATGAGGGTTGGGTAAAACGTGCGTGTTTGTCAATCCTTCTGTGTTGGTTGCTTGCTGACGTTCTTTGTAGCATGACTGTCTACATGATTCGGTAAATAGTTTCGAGTTTGTCTTGCGGTCGTGGGAAGACTTGGGCGGGATGTTTTCTGCGTCATTCCTCCGGGATCATACGAGTTTGGGAGATTGAACGGTTATTTGTCCTGTATTGTCCGCTCTTGTATCTTAACTGTACTTTCATTCGTGGAGCATGGGCAGCATTTATGAGCCTGCCTTCATAACAATTACGCAACGTCCATCTGACCACAGCAATGCCGTCGTCAACAAATTGCCCCATTCCCGTCCTCGCAGCATCCCCTTCCTGCGCTTCTACGTGGTCTCGAAACCCTCGCCCTGCCCCTAACACGTCCTATTGAGCAAGCGATGGCATTTCGCGCCGAGCCGACATCCGACCGTTCTGAAGCGCGGGACAGACGATAAAAATCCCTTGATGCATATCTCTCGCCGATCGCGTGGCAGGCATGATTCACCGTCGTCGTCTCCGTCAGATCCCCATACTCACACACACACACTCTCTCTCTCTCCACATCTCTCTTGCGAAAAACACAAGTTTGATTCTCTCGCCATGACTCCGAACCACCCTCTCCTCCTCTCCCCATCCCTCCTCACCCTCACCCTCCTCTTCGCCCTCCCCGCCCACCCGGCCTCCCTAACCCCCCCCCCACCCATCTCAAACCCCTCCCCCCCAACCGCCGACCGCTCCATCGAATGCTTCAACCTCACCACCCCAAAAGCCTACCCCGTCGACCCGAACGACTGCCCCCCCGCCATCGACGCCCTCTACCACGACCCCTCCGGCGTCATGGCCCTCCAGCGGTTCTCCCGCGACCCCGCCCTCGCCGCCTCCACCTTCCAGGTGCCCTTCGCCTGGCAGTACGGCTCCTGCCAGGTCCTGCTGACCAGCGGGCTCCCGGGCGCGCTCGACACGTTCCGGCTCGCCGACGTCATCGTGCAGGCGCTGCGCATCATCGAGGAGTGTCCGCCCCTGAGCAAGAAGGCGTTGGGGGGGCTGGGGCTGGTGGGGCGCGGGCAGGCGTTTTTTGTGGCGGTCAATGGGCCCGATTTGTCGCCGGATGGGGAGGGGGAGGGGGAGGGGGAGGGGGATGGCGATGGGGGTGGAGAGGTGGAGGGGGGTGGGGATGTGACGGGGCTGGGTTTCCGCGGTGGAAGTGACGGGTCAGGCGTTGATGTTGTGGATCCGGATTGGGCGAGTGAAGGGCTGATGGCATCATGAGGACTGGGGGCATCGTGGCGGAGAAGATAGGCAGAGTCTTTGTGAGCCTCATGGCTGCTTTCCGGACGGGCTTTCCAAGTGGTGGAGCCTGAGTACAAGTCTTCCTATGTTTTATGAGCACACGGCAATGCAATGTGGATGCTGTACCGTCCTGCGAAGGAGAGTGTTCAGTAGATGCAGAAAGTTAGGAAAGCGTTGGATATCATTGGGGAGAGGAATTATGAGGGTCCCCAAACCCAGATGTGTGCGATTCTAGCAGCTCTTTAGCAGGCCAGTGTACATTTGCCAATGTCTTCGGCCACAGCTTCTATGGGCACAGACATAGATGTCACCCCGTGAAGCCGGTATGATCGCTCGCTATTAGCATAACATGGACTTTGCTGAAATCATGGGAGTAGAGAAAATGACGGGGTATGTACAATGAAGCGAGACAGTGTCGAGCCCCGCTTGCTGTTGAACGATTGAGTCTGCCGATGAAATGAGGTGTGAGAAGCCATCCGTCTGCCCTTGCTCTAAACACCCTTCGAATTTCGCGAGAGCTTGGAGAGTCTGTTCGCAGGCTCAAAGTTGCTGTACAATAAATTCGCGAGGCGCATTTTAATTCTCGATGGATTGGTCTTCGCTGACAGGCTCGTCGTCAGTGTCATCGTCGTAGTTCCTAGCGCCAAACCTGAGTCCCCAAAGATTTTCGCCTCTACTCCAGCCGAAGAAATTCGTGACAATCTCGGCAGGCCGTGAATCTGCAATGTTCGCAGCGAAGGATGTATATCCAGGCAGGATACTCACAGACCTCACAGCGCCCTGGATTTTGTTCAGATTTGCCTCCCTCGTAGTTGAAGTTGTTGTGGTCACAGTCGACCTGCAATCTCTGCTGGAGCTCTGCCAGCTGCTGCTCGCGAGGGCGTAGATCAGGAGGAAGACCTCAGGCGACGCGGCGAGCTGCACGGATGTCTATGCCTCTGGCAGCACGTGTTTGAAGTTGAGGCTCGTCATAGTCTCCACATTCGCAATTCCTCCATTTCGTTCCGCAGCGATAGCAGAATTCTGCTTCACAGCGACATCTATGTTATTATGCTTAGCGGCGTACGTGAAAAGAAGAAAGCTTTGCAGAACTCACCGCATGTGATGACAGCCAAAGTTCAAGGCTACCATGTGACCGCATTGGTAACAAGTCTGCCAGCCTTCTTTCTTCGCGAGTGCTAGCACTTCCTCGTGTGCTTTGTCCTTCTTGCAGACGTGGCCGACGTTCCTACCATTCACATTTTGAGGGAATTCGGCGCGGCATTGTGTACAAGTATCTCTCCAACATGTCACGCAGGTGGCTCTGACTCCTTCGATTCTACCCTTTTCGATCCTTACTCCGCATCCCTGAATGCCGCAGTAGAGTGCTGTTGCGTTCTTGATCTCGGCTTGTCGTGAGCTGTAGCGGCTAAAGACCACAGCGGAGACGTTATCAGCGACTGTAACGAAGGCAATTGGGATCTTGCAGCATTTGGGCGGGAAGCCGTCATGTGTTTGGAGGCTAGCTTCGATGAAATGACCGAAGCAGTCCTTGCAGTAATAATGCTTGCAGGAAGCCTTAACGAGCTCGTCAACGGCTAAGTGGTCGCTGCAGCTTGCACAATCTCCAGTGGTTGGAGAGGTCTCGAAGGCCGTTGTAGGTGCTGCCGTCTCCTTTACCACTTGGGCGCCACTGGCCTCTGCTGTAGAGGGTTGCGGATCTTGGACTGAATATATCCCACTACCCTCGACCTGAATCCTCGGGTGATCTCCATTGGTGATCTGCTGGCACTTGACCTTCTTGTGAGAATGCCCCACATGATCTAATGCTGCGTGAGAAGGACAGCGAAGCTCGGCTTCTTTTGGGTTGACCGATACCGATGAAGGGTCGCCCTCTGGTGTTAGTGACCTTGCTCGCTTCTGGCTCGTCGCCTTGGAAGGCAATGTTTGATTAGCGCTATTGGCTGGCGCTAGCTTACTATGATTCGATACCGTAGAAGGTGCGTGGTTCAGCAGGGCCAAGCGGTCGAAAGTCGTGTCGTCAATCTGCGGCAATGGCGTCGACCGGGCCAATAGAGCTGAGTCGTCCTCCACAGCCTTGGCCATACTCAGAGCGAGGCGTCGACTCGCCTCGAAAGTAACAGCATCGAACCCGGAATCGATCTCAAGTTGCTGTCGTTGTAGGCGGATGACAAGCTTGTCGGCGGTGCCTGAGACCTCAAGCTCATCGAGATCATGGAGCTGCAGCGCAATGGCGAGCTGGGCGGACGCGTTGTCCATTGTTGACATGGCCATCCTTGCGAGCGGAACGTGCTACGTGGACTAAAACCTCTATCAGAGTAGGTTCTTAGGTATACAGAACTTGGACTTACCTTGTGCTTCACATTAGGATCTGGCGCGGGTTCAAGGACACTCACGTTGGAGCGAGTATATTGAAACGTTGAGCTGCGTAATACGTCAGAGTTGCTTCTTTGCCTTCTAAGGATGCTTTTATCCTACGTACCTCTCTTCAAGGCGTTGAGACTGGCATTGGTAGTGTCGCAGATTGATGATTTTCTGCTGAGGTTGCAAAATGTTGAACTGAAATCAATTCCGAATGATCAGACACTGATGAATTAGGATAAATCTGTAACGATTAGACGTCGTGTGTGTCCGTTCCTGGAATCATTCTGGTCAATATTCGCTGTAATCTAGTGAGCTCTAATACGGGTGGCTATTGTTGTTGGTGAGAGTGAGGAAAAGGGAAGGAAGTGAGGTTAAATCTTAAACTCACATACACGAGTGAACGAATGAAGCTCCTGGGGCGGAAATAATCTAGCAAGGAGCAGAGTCCAGATCGATGTATGCGAAATCTCGATCACGCTACGCATATGAAAGCAGTCTTCTGGATTTCAAGCATGCTCAATTGAACCCCTCGCAGGCAATGCGGTTGTCTGTTGTAGTCTTATAGGTCATCTGCGGTCTCTTACATCTCTCCGGCCACATTGCACCTGTCGTTGCGCGTCTCAGTGTGCTATAGGAAGATTGCTCCCATTTACAATGCCATCAGTGCTCAGGATCATGGTAGAATTGCTTGAGTATTCGTTCCGCCTCCTTGTACTCCACCTTGACCGTCGCCACGGTGGCCTTGATTTTCTTCAGCAGCACCGTATCCTCCATGTCTGTAGATTGTCCGGCATCGTCTTTATGTGCGCCGTAGTGCTGGATCTTCTCACAAGAGTCCTTCACTTTGGTCATGCCCAGCGTCGCGGAGGAACCCTTCAGAAAGTGGCCGAGGGACGAGAGAGTCGCCAATTCTTGTTCTCGCCTAGTGAAGATTAGCGGTTGCAATGATACTTCTGACCAGACAGGGGGGCGCGGCAGATGCGAAGCTGGCTACCACTTACTGAAGTTTCTGGCTTTCGGCGGTCGACCTAGTGCCATGTCAGGATTGTGTTCACTAGAGTGGATGATGATGATGAAGGGAAGCAGAGGGACAGAGACTATGCTGGTGATATGAAGCCGGTGTTAACGTACAGGGAAGCAATCATCTTCTCAAAGGTTGCCTCGGCCTGCTCGAAGAATCCGTAGACAATGCTCTTGGAGAATTCCCGCTCATCTTCGTCATCGTCCATCTCCAAAATCTGTTCGAATGTAGGGAGATCGATGGAGTCGCCACAATCAGGAAGGCCAGTCGAGCCAGTCTCGGACTTTGGGGGACGAGTCAGCATGCGGGTCTATGGCCATAGAACAGCAGGCAAACCCGGGCCCGGGACGTACAGGATCTTCCGTCGAATGACTGGCCATGTCGTCTTCTTCTTCTCCTTCGGACCCCTCTTCTGGTTGGCTGTGGGTGGAGGGAAAAGCGGTCTTCGGGATGGAGCTGACTTTAGTCATGATGAGCGTTGTCCTGCAAACTGACCAATGTCGGAGCGGGCGCTAAGGGGCTCCTGCTATTGGCTGCGAAGCGAAAGAGACAAAAGGAAGGTAACAACGTGCTTGGTATGAAGTGGGTGGGGAAAGGTTGGAAGGTCACACCTGCAGACAGGGAAAGCTCTGCTTGTTATCAGCATATGTGGCACCAATTACTCCAGGGCAAGGGAACCCACAAGAAGAAAATGCAGCTTTGGCTTCTATGAGATTTCTGAGCAGGCTGGTAGATATATGTAGACGGATGAAGAGTAAGAGTAATTGCGGTCGTGGTGGAGGAGGAACTCGGATTGGAAGGCTACAGCATAAGTTCGGACACAAGATGTAGAAGCTCGGTCGTTCCTTAGTGGTATGTGTCAATGTTGACAGGAAGTAGTAAGGTATTATGGATTACTGCGATCCAAAGTTTGAAGGAGGAATATTAGTAGATCATGCCCGAAGATGAATGCAGGGAGCTAGCATATGAGTTTAGGCGGATATAGGATATACGTAGCACAAGGTAGTACTGAAATTGGGTCTATCAGTGGAATGGATGATTCTGGTCTGTCTATCATCATGCTCCCACTCTCTACTACCTTACCTTACTAAATTCATGACTCGCCAGTGGACACTAATTATTGCTTCAAGCTGAAATGAAAAGATGAGATCATACGTTATCATACTCTACGCTATTGTATCCTCGTCAGGGGAATTCTTTATTGGTGGATACTTCTAATGCCCTTGATGGCTTCCGGATCATCGCTTTGCCTACACCATTCAGGGAAAGTGACTCCTTCCTTTGCGACTATTAAATTACCCGCTCTACTCACAACTGTATAACTAATCAAAGTGACCAACGACACATGGCCACCATTTCAGCATTTCTCGCTAACTCCTCTATCTCGGCAGATCCTATGCGAATGCGCCTTTCTCACGAGGCGCTTCCCAGACAACAGAGATGGAAGCGGTGGGACGAGCGCACGGATCCTGGGGAAGCTTACCCTGTCAGCTGGTCTACTTACTTACACAGTATGTCAAGGTACAAGAGATATGGGTAAGCGAAAGGATGAAACGAGCAGGCAAACTGCGTCACCGATGACGCCTGTGCGCATTAGAGCACGAGGACCCCCGCTCTCCGGGTAAGCCTTACCCGCAAAATGGACCCGGGTCTAGATCTCTCGTAATGTACTTTTATGCCGTGACAGCGGAGGACAACGTTTCGTTCTTTGATGAAATGATTCTCCGATTGCTCCCTCCTCACTAAAAGTATCCTTAGTCCTCGGTCTTGCACACTTGCTACCCTGACCGACGGTGAGATGATGACAGAAAGGTGGAGCCATGGCGAAGCGATACGTCAGATATGACCGAGTGGGCTGATCGATAGATTCGTCTGGAATCTGCACATGAATGGTGGTGCATATCATCGGTTGGCGCTTCAGACTTCAGCTGCAAAGACCCCCCCTCGTACTAGTACCCGCCAAACGCCGTGATGCAGGGCCATAAGGCCAATGCCGATCCTTGACTCCATTGTACATATGCATGACCTCGTAAAGAGCCGCAAAGACGTTCGAGACCCATAAAGCTGGCCTATCTTTCGCTTCTGCTCCCGCGTCTGGGTCAAGACTGAGACCGAGGATCCATCCGTGCAGAAATCACTCATCAACATCGTCATCAACTCCACCAGTCCATGCATCTGTCCGTATCTATGACGCAAGCAATTGATATTGCTCAGACTGAAAGGAAGACAGCAACACCAACATGAGAACGTGAGAATGAGGCGCTGGGTCTGCGGATATAATGCGCCGAACAGATACCCGCTATTACAATAATCGAATCAAGCTATCATACAGTTTTTCTCCGGCGCTAGATGCAAGGGAATTGTTGAAAATCTTCGGTTCGGATGATGAAACAAGATGAAAGATAGAGTAAGCAGGTTAGAAGTAGGACGGCAACTACGGCGACGCCTTCCCAGTATCCAATTTAACCCGTCACTTTGTGAATGGACTCCGCAAGGCGCTTGACATTGCCCGTCGTGATCCCGGCTACGGATATCCTGCCGTCTTTGGTGGCGTATACCGAGTGCTGTCATGTGTAAGCACCGTAATTGAATCGTTGGTTCAGCTCCAACTCACCTCCTTCGCCAGCTTGTCCATTTGCTCGGGCGTCATCCCAGTATAAGCAAACATGCCGATCTAGACCGCGTCAGACCCTGGGCTCGTGCGTTGTGCACAGAACATCATTACCTGCGAGGTGATGTGGCTCCAATCGTGCTTGCTACCTAGGTCTTCTAGATTCTTCTTCAGGAGCGCCCTCATGCTGATGATACGATCAGCCATTCCCTTGACCTCCTCAAGCCATTGTTGGTTGAGCTCGGGGTTATTCAATATCTCGGCGGCAATACGAGCACCGTGAACGGGAGGATTCGAGTAAAGAGGCCGGACGAGGATCTTCACTTGTGAGTCAACTCGCTTCTTTTCTTCAGCCGACTCGCAGCAAATGGAGAAAGCCCCAACACGCTCGCCGTAAAGTCCCTACCAATCATCAGCAAAATACAGGCGAGATCGTATTCAGCAAGAGCATACCATGTTCTTGGCAAAGCTCTGGGCTAGACAGAAGTGATGGCCCTCAGACTGAAAGTGCCTGACAGGGAAAGCATCCTTGTTGGTATCCCCGCTGGCAAACCCTTGGTAGGCCATGTCAAAGAACGGGTAATGCTTCTTCTCCTTGACAACATTGCTTATCTGCCTCCATTGCTGTTCCGAAGGGTCAATCCCAGTTGGGTTGTGTGCGCAGGCGTGAAGAAGAACAATGCTGCCCTCTGGGGCGGCCTTGAGATCCTCTACCATACCGTCAAAGTCCAGACCAATGGTGTCCTTGTTATAGTATCTGTACTTTACCACCTCCAAGCCAGAGTCCTTGAAAACAGCATTGTGGTTTGCCCAACTAGGTGTTGGTATGTAGATCTTCTTGCTCGAAGGATAGTGACGCGCCAGGAACTCGCCACCAATCCTAAGGGCGCCAGTGCCGGAAATAGATTGGGTTATTGCGATCCGGTCATTCTTGATTGCGTCGGAGGAGGAACCGTAGGCGAGTACAGCTGCAGCTTTGGTGAAAGAAGGTACACCTGTGATTCCCGCATATTCCTTGTCGAGTGCCGAATCAACGACCTTTTTTTCAGCGGTCCGCACAGATGGCAGGACATAAGGTTTGCCCTTGTCATCGCCTGAGAAGTGTCAGCGTGGGGCTTTGGAATCACATCGCCCTACTTACGGTACGCCCCTACTCCTAGATTGATCTTCTCCTGGAAGTTGTCCGCCTTGAAGGCCTCTGTGATACCCAAGATAGCCTGGGAAATGGTAGCGTGTTAGGGGAGCTTATCACTTGGCACAACCTCTCGCTTACATCCTGCGGCCATGTCAGTTACCTAGCAAGAGTCAATGGCTCGTAAACGTACTGGAGGACCTTGAGGAACGTTGGCCCACGTAGAGGCAGACCTCAATGCTGTTATCCTCGGCAATGAGGATCTTATAGCAACTGGGCGGGCGATCAAGCGGCAAGCAGATAGCATTGTGGATGATGTCAAACACAAAAAGGAGGAAGTAGGAGGAAAGAAGACGTTGATGGAGGAAGCTTTATTTGACACGGTACCTGAGACCAACAGAAAAACTTTCGAATTCAATGCCAAGAGCATAAGGGTCCCTCGGTCCGGTTGGTCCAATAGCTTCTCGGGAACTAAAGACGGAAGGTCTAACTGCATTGTCCATCGAACTTCTTTCCACCTTTCCCAGACCGAGGAATCTCAAATTGATTCCACGAGGACAATGTCTGTCCTCTCGCGACTCTACCATATACAACAACATATCTATAACCACACTCAGCTCGAGGCTTACTGCACGTTGTGATTTTCCAGAGCATCACCTTGTCATCAATCAGCGCGGTGGGGGTCCGCTCACTGGGCTCTGTAGGCCTGCTGGCCTCGGCCTTTGAATTCAGAGAGAATCTCAAGTGGGACACCTCTCGACCTAAACCATGCATTTTGCAATGCCTCCTCGAAAGACCTCTCAACCTCCTCCCTATGCCAGAGCGTCTCGGTCGTCGCCGATACGGCGGAAACAGCTCCAATTCGTCGCACTCATAGGATGCACCCTACTCTTACTCGTCTACTTTGCTATACGTTTGTTTGGCTCATCGGCAGAAAAGGCTCCTCCAGGCACACCTGAAGTGGTGGTGGTGACCCTGCTCGATGAGGCGACCATGAGCGATGAATACCGGGCACGGATTATGGAGAACAGAAAATACTACGCCGACAAGAATGGTACGTTGTATACATTTTTACCCTCGAGATTACCCTTGTCTGACAACCGACGTCTACAGGATACGCTACCTTCTTCCCAGATGTCGCAGACTACGACTATGGCAATTCCCCTAGAAGCTGGGCTATGGTGCCTGCTCTACGGCATGCCATGACCAAGTACCCACATTCAACCTACTTCTTCAATCTGTCGCCACATAGCCTAATAATGAACCCGAAGATCTCCCTCACCTCCCACGTCATGGATAAAAAGCGCCTTGAGTCGATAATGCTTAGGGATAAGCCTGTGGTGCCACCGGACAGTGTCATCAGGACCTTTACACACCTTAAGGGCGACAAGGTCGATCTGGTACTCACACAAGATGCCGAGGGTCTATGTCAAGGTAGCTTTGTTCTACGGCGAGGTGAATGGGCGAAATTCTTCCTGGACACGTGGTTTGACCCTTTGTATCGCAGCTACAACTTTCAAAAGGCCGAAGCCCACGCATTGGTAGGCCTCCTCCATTTCCTCTTACCGCTCGCTGTTTCCCACTGACGTTCTCCGTACAGGAACATGTGGTCCAATGGCACCCGACTATCCTGACAAAGTTGGCACTCGTCCCTCAAACGCTCATCAACTCCTACGGTGTCGACATCGCCAGCCGTGGCGGCAAAGAAGTGTTGTACAAGGAGGGCGAATTTGTCGTCAGACTCGTCGGTTGTGAGTTGGACGCGACCCGGTACTGCGAGAAGGAATTCGACATGTACTACCAGCAATGGAAAAGCTACCTCAACAAGGGCACCATATGATCGCTTGATTTCGACTTACCTTGGTGTTCTATAATGCGGGTCGAGATACCTTGGGTTTTCATCTGTCGCGTGTATTATAATTTGACATTCACGCGGAAACGGGACATCTGTCGATACACCAGCTATCATGAGTCACAGGACGGGCAGTACCCCGGATGGTACTTAGGGTCACGGCGTAAGATCTATATCTTTATTATCTACGAAGATCCAGGAACGATTCATTTCAGTGCTCTTCTCTGTGCATATTGTTCCTTACGCGTGGCAGTGTCCAGCCCCACCTGGTGCGACTGCAATACCAGCGAAACAGATTTTCTCCACCTGCTGGGGTCTGCACCTCCACACGTTGAATACTTGGCAGCAGCGAACCTGATAAAGGCCCCACGGTGCAGACTCTACTCCACACCTTCTCCATTGCTGTCCATAACCCATGCTTCCATCCTCCGACTGCGCACCTAGGCCCTTTTACCCCCGCGATGTGCCTTGATACGTCAGAGTTGGGCTGTTTGCACCAAGCGCCTGTTGTTAGCCTGAGATCAATTGCGGCGTATCGTCGTGGCCGATCGAATCGGGCTTTTGAAAGGCGGCGTAAGATGTACGGTGAGTTGGCTATGTGTCCACAAGAGTACTAAGGCGCTGCTGCCTCGCTTCTTGAAAAGGGTCGGTGTTCCGCGTTGTTTCTCTACAGGGGCTCTCGTTCTTTCGCGTCGCTTGCGTCGTGGAATGATATCTACGGGCGTCAGTTGGCCGCTAGGCACTGTCCGGTCGGGTACTTGGGGAGCTTTCTGAGGATTCTTCGAACCAGCAACTCTGTGGAAAGTTGTGTGTCTGGAGTTGAATGGAGCGGGAGGGTTACAGCCTCTGATGAGCCTGGATGAAGGTAGTGCACTGGCGATGATGGGGTTTGTGCCCGCGTGGCAGCGTTCCGACGGCAGAGAAAAGTATTGATCTTGGGGCACTCGTGGTTCTTGGCGAGTTTGGGTTCTTCATGGTAGGTGATGGGCGTTTTAAGTATGTTGGTCGTGAGACTGTTGTATAAGTAAAACCGAAGGGGTTGGGACGCCAGGACTCGTGTGCCAAGCATGGGCCGGAACAGATCCGCTCTGATGAGAAATACTTGGCTTCTGCTCCCAAGTTTGAGAGTCCAGACTGATGTCACACTCATCCTTCGGAGCTGAGGTAGTCAAGAGTTCCCTTGACTCATGCACACTTTGCCATCAATGGAGGCGAAGGTGTCTTTGTCTCTGAGACGGTCTATCAGCTTCCTTGATATTCCACTGGAAATTCGTTGATGACCTTTGCGTCGATGGATATAGCCTTTTCGAACAGTGGATCGCGACAATGGGAAGGGTCTTTTACTTGCATCGAAAAGGGTCGGTTTGAGGTCTGAGGAGTTCTTTCTGGGGAGAACGTCTTCCAGGTTCATCTTCATGGAGAGGGAGGGTACTAGTACTCCCTTGAAAGATATTTTACGGAAGCCAACATACGAGAAATACGAGTAATGCATGTCATAATGCAACCTCAGGGTTTGTTTTACGGTGACATGCGGGACTCCACGGTTTGGTCAGAACATTTTTTGTGCCAAAGATCCAAAGAACCAGGTTCTGAGGGTCTCAGTGAGAGGGAAGGGTTGAAGGATCAAAGATTGAAAAGGGTAGGTAGCAAAGGGGTTGACGGTGAACCAGAGCAGCTGGGATGATCAGCGGCGAATTGTCTTGGAACATGCGATGAAAAGAAAGATCGAATACAACATATCGGCCAATGGCGGGGCGGTATGAACGGATGTATCCTGTTTGGTAGCAGTGGGAATTTGTACACTATCCACACTGACTAGCAACAAGCCCAACATATCGTGCCCTTCCTACCAATCTAATCCGCCAGGGCTGTCGGAGATTCACCAACAGATAGTTATGGAAGAACAAAATAAAAGAACTCGCGGAACCATCAGTGCCTCGGCGTCGTTTCTTCTGTAGGTCGAGCATCAGATCACCTTTGCATCTTGCCCACACATTGCTAGCAGAATCAATAACTCTTGCCCTTCCCATGCTCCGACTGCGGTTTACCACCGTCCAACAACCCAGATGGCTGATCATGCCTCCCCTCTTTGCGAAACCGTTCCATGGGAGTCAACCCTTGGTCATTGCTGCTTCTGGGCTGTGATTGGGGACCCAATTCTCTTGCATTTCGTTGGTGAGAAATATCACCGCCGATGGCCGAATCAGTGGTTGCTCCTGCGTTTGGCCCGGGGGGATCTGCCCAGGCGCCTATGCCACGCAGCAACGTATTTCCGGACGGTCCAGTGAGCCGTTGGGACAAGGCTTGATTAGGGTCTTGTGCAGCGGGCTGATGACGAAGAGTGGTGCCAGGGGTGCCGGAGGTGGCTTTGGTCGAGGCGGCGTTGCTTGATGTTGATCTGGGGGTTGAGGCCTTGGAGGTCTGGGCTACCTTTGCGGGCCTGGATTTGTCTCAACGTTAGTCGGCATGATGTGCTGAGCTGAGGATGCAGTGGGAAACACAGGGTGGGGTAAGGATACGGACATTTCTTTAGATGTATTGGCTGACATGGTTCCCGATAGGCTTGAGAGTAGATTTGCTTTAGAGGGGAAGATGCTTCACCGCAGCGGATCACATATACTGCAAGAGAACACCGAATGCCATGGTCATGGTCTTGCTTTATATACACCTTTGTATGTGCGATATGGGAGTGACGAGGGATTCCTAGAATCAATGCACGGACAAGACTCGGCATGTCTTTTGACACATTCCGGCTCTCCATAGCTGAAAAAGATTTGCTCGATTCTTAGATGACATGAGTAAAGGACAAACACCTGGTCGAGACGCGTTCCCCAAGCCCACAATTGGACGAGGACTCCCTGAATCCCTGGAACCGACACTAGATTTTTCATCACATCTAAGTCAACCCATGTAATCAAGCAATACCCGCAGATTCCTACAAAAGGGCAGTTAGGTGGTACGCATGATTTCCAGTATCCTTTCCCGGGTTTGAATGTTTGCGATACGATTGTCAATTTCTAAAAACAATGCAGGGGGATCGAATAGGCGCGTTCGCCCTAAAACGCTAGCATTACTAGTTTGCATGCAGGACCGTTGACATGAGGTCCAATCAGGTAGATGGGTTTGCACATAGAGCCATGCATGATGCAGATTCCTGATGTAGGAATCTTGTCAAGGTGGTGTCACAAGTGTGGTCGATTGCCGCATTGGGCAAAGCTCATTGTTTAGCGCTAGGTCGACATGCAGTAAGCGGTTTGCATGAACTCGCCGGGCTTTTTAGGAATCGGTAGCCTTGTGAGGGAAAATGATAAGTTCCTTACCTTGCCTACAATCTTTCACTCTATTCCAACTACCCTACTTCCACCCAAATTGCAGTTTACGCTCACGCTTGACGGCTTTGTTGGTTGCCAGCCAAGAACCCTTTTGCAATATCTATGATTACAAGATTGATCATCGGACAATGGATACAGGTCCTGTGGACGTCACAGGTAGTTCGTTTGACCCAGGATGCCCATACCATCCGGAAAGCCTGTTCCATCCTTTGGAGCGAGGCTATCATCCTATCTTCCGTTTTATCGAACATTTCAGCGAGTAAGTCACTGCGGTAAGATGCAAGAGAATTACAGCCACTGACCTTGGCAATAGTGGCTCGGACTATGTGGCGGATTCTTTCGGAGAGCACACCTACATCACCAAGTCCGAGGACCAGTCTTGCTCAGGTGACTGTCGCTGTCGGCGTCTCGATGAGCGAATCGGCGGGAACTCGCCTTCATAGTCCGCAAGACCGTCTCCACAATCGATGTCGAGCTCTCATCCATTGTCCTTCAATCGCGGATTTCCGATATCTTAGGACTAGCTGGTCAAGATCCACCTAGCAATATTTTTGACGGTTTCCAGCTTCTGGAGAATTCCGGCTTCTTGGAGGTTGATCTTCGGCAATTGCGAGCCGAGACGCAAGGTCACAATCCTATGGGAGTTGTGGCGGACCCAGTATATGTGCAGGGAACGATCCTTGAGGCCGAACTGGCTCTTCTTGTGGAGGGCCTCATTGGGGATCACCAAATATTCGAAAGCTTCGGTTACGAAAATCTTCATGAAAGGGGTTACTTGACTTATGAACGTTGGATGGCCTGGAACAACTCCAAGATAATCGAGGCCCAAGATCATCTTGACAGGATTTTTCACGCCACTGGTCATTCTGAGGGTGTCAATGATTTCGATACCGCCGTTAATGATAATCTCGCAGAGGAGCCACTTGCACATCCGTCTATGTTATCCGGGCCTTCTTGGAAGCCTCATTTCGTGGGACCCGAAGATCAAGATTCTCGGTCTCGCAGCTTAGCAGCTAGCAGTGGTCTGGTAGCGGAGACCCAACGGCTGTTGGACAAAGGAATCAATCCGGGCGAATTACATTTTCATACCCCAAACTATGGGATTCTTACAAATTCATACCCCATCTTACATTTTCATACCCCAATGGGGTATGAATTTGTAAGATGCCACTAATAGGGGTATGATTTTGTAAGATACCATTAATAGGGGTATGATTTTGTAAGTTGCCATCTATAGGGCGGGTTGGTGTTAGGAATTATTCCTCCGGGGGCCCCTGCGAGGCCTCTTAGGGGTGTCTGCAGCGTGAAATGCAAACACCCCTATTTTACCCTTTAGCGGTAACTCGGGTTACTAACGATTGGGGTAGGTAGCCTGGAACACCCTAAATACCCTTCTAATGATTTACAGGTATAGGGATAACTACATCTACAAGTTGATGGTATCTTACATTTTCATACCCCAAGAAATGGTAACTTACAAATTCATACCCCAAAGACTGGCAACTTACAAATTCATACCCCATTTTTTTGGTGAGGGGTATGAAAATGTAAGATGGGGTATGAATTTGTAAGAATCCCATAGTTTGGGGTATGAATTTGTAATTTGCCCAATCAATCCCAACGAACCTCCTTCACTTTCAACGAACGGTTCCACCACAATATTAGTGGAAGCGATCAGGAATGGCCATCAACAGGTCGTGAGTCTACTCATAGCTTACGGAGCCAATGTCGACGGAGCAAGCCAAGAAGGGCTCTTACACAGGGCTGGCAACGGTGGAAATAGTTGGTTTTGGAGGGCAAACTGCACTAACTACTAGATTTGGAAATCGAAACTGCACCAACTACCATATATTGAAAACCAACTACCCCACTATCAGTGCACTGATAGTGGAGCAGTTGTAATAAAAGCTAAAATATCGCTCAGTGGGGGGAATGGGGTAATACCTATCAGCCCTATTAGCCCTACTTCAACCCTATAAATATTAGCCTATTAGCTCTTTTAACTCAAAAAACCGACTTTTTAAAAAGATTATTATAAACTACTCCACTATCAGTTGAACCAGTTGGTTTTGCGGTTAGAACTGCATCAACTATCAACCGGTAGACCCCAAACTACACCATCAACTACGAGAAACTAACGGTTCCACTGGTAGTGGACCAGTTAGTTGGTCCACCATTGCCAGCCCTGCTCTTACACGAGAGTAACTCGCCATTGATCGCCGCAATCTACAAAGGCGAGAGCGAGATCATTACTCAACTGTTGGATCATGGGGCGAATCCTACGATCCTCTCACACATCAAGCAAGAAGACCAATGGCTGGTCGCTCGATCGCTCATAGACCATGGAGCCGACGGCACATTACTTCTTCTATCATTACAAGGTCAAAAGCTTGCAGACCCTCGACTTCTCTATGTACTCCAGGACGGCGGTGCGAATATCTACTTAACTCGGCCAACTCCAACTCAAGATCACGATTTAAGCCTCCGCCTCTCAGATTACGGTGTCGCGTACATGCATAAAATATGTGTCCGTACCAGACAGATGATCAGCGCGATTGAAAGAAGTGATCTGGCATGTGTTGAGGCAGAGATCAGCTGCGATGCAGATCCAACTTTTGGCGTTGATGCCGCGATATCGAAGCTTGAACCCAAGGCTTTGCGATTACTGCTTCACAAAGGAGCTGATCTCAGATACCTGGAGTTCGGGAAAAGGCAGGCGTCTCTCCTGGAAGCGATTACAGCCGATGCTTGTCTGACAATGGTGGCTGAGGAGGGATTTACTTCCGCTGTGGGATCTATCTTGCGCTTGAGAAGCTCTGCCAACACTATCGAAGGACGCGATGGCAAGATTTCTCTAACAAACCTTATTCGACAGAGAAGGACGCCAATTTTGAAGATGCTGCTCAACAAGGGGTTTTTTTCTCGAGACTTTGTCGCTGACAGTAGCGAGTGGTCCCTCCCAGTAGCGGCCAGGAGCTCAATGGATCTATACACACTGCTTCTAGACTTTGGCGCTCGTTTCTACACGGCGCTATTCGGTGCCGTTACCGCTACCAATCTGACCGATCTGAAATCATTGGAAATTGCGGAAAGGCCCGTGAAGTATCGCGTATATCCTGAAATCCATACTGAACGTGGTGACCTTTTCACCACGGCCGAAGAGAACATGTACTCAGTGTTCACGAAAGCAACAAGCCCCTGCAACCCTGGTGTCCTCGTACCTGCCAATCACTGGTTTTGTCGCTACCTGAGCTTAGTTGCCAAAGATACTCCACTTGAAACATATGTTTCAGAGGGCGGCAGTCTCACAGCATTACCGTCGCACTGGAATTTGTCATCACTTGAACCACATTATCAACCTATTTCACCTGTAATCAAGGGCGCTTCCGTGCCTATCCAGACAAAACCCAAGATGACAGATTTCAATCTGCCCGAGCCGGACGAAAAATCACTCAATGAAATAAGACTTCTCTGTCTACACCGAGAGTTTCAGAAGGAGCATGCCCATATTCTCGCGTGTGCCCAATCATCAGTCGCCGGGAATCCTAGAGCATGGGGTCAGTATGGATTCATGCGCAACTACTCGTTTGCGTGGAGAAGCGGTATGGCCACCGTGCATGTACTTCGTAGACGCGAAACCACTTCAAATCTTAACAGCGCGATATGGTTTTTGGCTATTGCAAAAGCTAGACTCGTCACGGATAAAAGTAGTCCTACGGGTTGGCAAGTGCAATTTATGTCAGATCTAAACCGCTATCGGGGACTTTTCAGTCAATCGGATGGGAGTCTAGATGCTTTTCGTTCGGCGGCGCAGGATATTTGGGGAGCCAGCCTGACATACCCTCCACATCATGACGGTGTTGATCAGACAACTCTAATGTACTTCCAGTCACTGGCCGGTAGCCTACTTGACGGCTCGGAATCACCTTTGAGACATCGAGGAAATAGCGACCACGGACTTCTAACAAGCCAAAGGAGATGGCGGATGCATCAGCCTTCAAAGCTAGGGAAGAAAGATGGATACCCCAACCCCTTTCACAAACGGTTGCCTGAGAGTCTTGTCGAACGAGGAGATCCTGCGGACTACTACGCTTCAGGCTCAACAGATTTCCATGAAGGCGGCACTGGGCAGGAGTATGCATCTGACAGTCCATTCAGAGATACAAGAAATGGTCGACCATATGTCTCAGCTCATTACACCGTAGCGTTAACGATGACGGCGGGTTTCAACTTCGGCGTTGTTCTCGCTTTGTTGCTGGGTAAGATCTTGATTTCCTCAATGGCTTATTTACGCTGAGCACCACTGATATATATCTACAGCTCTGGGACAAAGCTTGGTCCAATCAACGTTGAATCTCAATTCATCAGCGCTCAGCGAAGAGGGCCTCAGAGACACAGTTACCCATCTCTGCAGTAGCACCGAGTTCCATCTTAGCCATAGCACTCATGGATCATTGGACTTGGTCAAAACCGACATCAACTGTGCCATATCATGCGGTATTCTCAACAGATTTTCCGATCTTCCCAAGTACGTAGAAGAGGCAGATTTTGTGCAGGTACGTGAAGGCCGCATCGAATACCTTTCTGGTCTTCAACACTAACTCATTCAGACGACTTCGATAAACCCATTTGAGGCCATCACCATCAAGCAAAGCCTTGTACGTGCCTGCAACATCTGGGATGCATCATATGCTCTTCAAGAAAGGTATCACGTCCTTCGAGCGTTCGTGGGATTACGAGGCTACAAGCGGATTGTCCCACACACAACACGCCCAACCACTTCGGCTGAAGAGCCCCAAAGCGCCTCTCTCGGGTTTGGTGTTCCAATCGACCACGGTGATGGCATCATCGAGTCCTCGCGCCTGTGTCAGTCGCTGCAAACCAGCCTTCCAGTTTCACCATCGATTATTTCAAGTGATGTGGAAATGCAAACACAATCGCCTCCCGGGTATGGCAGACTCCAAGCCTTGAAAGAAGCACTCCGCTAACCGTTGGATAGTCCATCATTTCGTCCTGACTCGCCGACAGTTGCGCCTGCAAGTAACTCATCTAATGGTTCCAAAACCTGCGAAGAGTGCGGTCGAAAGTTTGTAGGCGGCAAGATTGTCAGCAGGTATAACAGACACCGGCAGGAGATTCACGGGGCGCTAGGGGGAAAGGTTCGCTTCCCATGTCAATATCCGCCTTGCCGGAAACACTTCTCCAGAAAATATGCTCTTGACAATCATGAAAGAAATATGCATGGGAGGGTGCTGTCTAGTCGTGCTCGAGCCACTAAATAGAAAGGTGTCGGTTTGCTGTACTGCTAGTTCTAGGCGCGTACCTCATTCTCACAATGGCGTTTCCTATCCCTCAACTGGTATCAATCCACCATTAGCTTCAGCACGCATGTATTCCCTCTTCAGCAAAGAGTTAAATGTATCCACGTCCCTTCAAATCTATTCTACACAGTGTAATGCAACAATCCACACTCTTACGATAGCGCGTCTTGTTGATTTCTGAACACATTCAACAGATTTTCCTACACCTGCCTACTCTCAGGTCAATAACAGTGATGATAACATCCGAAGCAGATCCTCCGACGGCGCGGTCCTGCGGTTCCTCCAACCACTTTCGTCGTCTCGTGGGCAGCCTATGTCATGCCACAAGGAAGACAGGCTCGCGCGGTGTAGCGTGGGGGCGAAGTTGATGACGATGGTCTAGGAGATGGCCGGAGCGCAGCGGAGATGATTGGATCTGGGCGTTACTGGATCATCTGGAGTACTCATCTTGTGGAATTAGCATATTACTACATTAGATACCGAAAGGGCAGATGATTCGTTCCATCTTGATCCTCAATGATTTGATGAGATCATACTGGGTGATGGAGGGAGATGTTGGATGTTTGAACAACAGTGACAAAAATCCCGCGGGGCCACTAGCAATAACGCTAAGCCCGAACCGCAGAGTACAGTACTCGTACCGCTGCCGCGCGCTTCACGCCTTGGCAATATCAAAATCTTCAAAAATTGCTCCAGTCAGCCCGATCAATAGCTGAGAGTACTACCATTGCACCTCAGACTCTTGAAATCCTTCCGCAAAATCCCGTCCGCCCCTCCCCCCCACACGTCTCCTCCATCCCCATGGACCCTCACCCGCAACCATGCCCCCAAAACCGAAACCCCAACTAACCCACTTCCTCCTCCTCCCCCTCGTGACACCCACATCGCGCCCACAGCTACAAGCCTCGCTCCAACGCTTCGCCGCCGAAGTCACCACGCCCAACGAATCCGGCGAAGCCAAACTCCCCGCCAAAGCCATCCGCCCAGTCGGCGCCATCCACCTCACCATCGGCGTCATGAGCCTGCTGACCCCCGAGCGCGTGGCCGCCGCATGCGCCTACCTCCAGAACCTCGACATCCCCGGCATGCTCGCCGCCGCTTCCGTGCCCCCCGTCGTGACGTGGAAACCCCTCAACCCGGACTCCGCAGCCTCCCCGTCCGAACCCACGGACGCGGCACCGCCGCCGTCGCCGCCGCCGCAGCCGCAGGCGTTGGTGACCACCCTCTCAGGCCTCCACACCCACCGCGCCCCCACCGACTCCTCCTCCCTCCACGCCCTCCCCACCCCCTCATCGCCCCCGCTCCACCCCTTCGCCACCGCCCTCCGCGCCGCCTTCACCGCCGCCGGCTTCCTCGTCCCCGAACCCAGACCCCTGTCCCTGCACGCCACGCTCGTCAACACGATCCACGCGCGCAGCGCCCGGAGCGGGAAGATGCGCTGGCGGAAAGGCAGCGCCCGGTTCGACGCCTCGGGCCTGATCGCCCGGTACGCGGGCGCGCGCTGGGCGACGGACGTCAGGGTCGAGAGGGTGGCGATTTGCGAAATGGGCGCGAGGGATGTGGGGGTGGGGGTGGGGGGGGAAGAGGAGGTGTTGGATCAGGCGTACAAGGAGGTGGCGAGCGTGGAGTTGCCCTGAAGATGATTTGGAGGGGTAGAGAGCTGCAGATGGCGGATGCGCTTGGCTTGGCCGGATGCTTCGGAGAGGGTGGGGGGATGCTGGCTGGAGCTTTGAGGGAGGCCGGGCACGGATACCCGCTCGGAAAGGTTCGTGGTGGATACGGTCGCTGCTTGGCCCCACCCTTCGAGATGGTATTCTGGTCTCCGAAACCGGAGTTGCTACTGGAAGGTCCTTGGGGACAGAACCTAGGAAGGGACGACGAGCCAGCGCTCTGATATCGTAGCGTTACACAGCCTTGTAAGATTCCAAATTTTGACTGAGGCGACTGACTACAGACTCGGAGATCGTTCGTCAAAGGCAAGGAGTGCCCGGAAAAAATAGACTGTTACTTTGAATCGCTGACAACATGGTTATATATGTGTATCATGCTCATTAAAAGACATGTCCAGGCGTAAAGACACGAAAAGATCAATCTTCTAGACGGGGGAATATTAATGCACGCTGAAGCCACGCCAATCAATCATCGCGACTTCTCCGTCTTCATCCCTTTGCATTATACTTATCATTGAACGCATTTACTGCAATCCCAATCTGCTTGTACAGCCAATTCCTACTGCTCTCTTCTGACACTGGAATAAAAGGTCCGTTGGTTCCTCCCTTCAAGGTGACTGACATGCCCGTCCTCTCCTTACTGATCGTCTGGATATCATTCAGCTTGATATCCCACTCGCTCTTTAGCTTCTTCGTCGTGACCAGCATGATGCGGTTGTACGTAAGCATGACGAGCATGTCTTTGCCTGGGAGTTCGAGATGCGCGATGTAGTCTTCGTGGAAGTATTTGCCGTCATCCAGCGTCTTCAGCCAGAATTGGCCTAGTGCTTCGCGCTGAGCATATGGACGCACGATGCCATCCATACCGATAAAGCGGGTAAGGCGAACGCGGTCGAGGCCTTCTTGGTCGAAAACAGTGGTGGTATTGCGGACACCTTCGGCCATATCTGCGATTCCAATCAGCATCATTCCTGACAGGCGTGGGGCAGTCGGTACTTACTTGAGGCAAGGTCGAAAGCCCCAATGGCTGGCTTAGTAGCCAGACCCAGAAAACCCTTCCCAACACCTTTAACAAATCCCTGTAGGCCTTCTTTCTCAGCGCCTTGCAATGGGTGCCGTGCAAGACCACCGATACCACTAGCCATGCTGCTTGCGAAAGCGTTTCCTCCAGATGTGACACCGTAAAGTGCATGCTTCGGTCGGTTTCTCGATTTCGACATTCGACGCTGGTCTTGGTACTCCTTGTCTAGTGTGGCAGCAGCCAAGCCCTTTGACATGCTGCCGGTGAATTTGGCCATACTATCAGAGAATCCGAAGACAGACTTCTTGACAAAACTAGATGCGCCCTTTGCTATGCCAATACCCAGCTCTTGCGGCCTGTCAGTCATGACCAAGCCTTGATATGGTTCGTAGAAGATGTCGGCCACTCCAGAGCTGACATTGTTGAAGAGTCCAACGGGATTGCCCAAGAAGTCCGCCGATCCGAGGATAATATGCATCTGGCGGATACTCTCTTGAGTGTAATGACTCTGCACGTTGGTCATCAGGTTTGGGACAGAGATACGCGCATTCTCCAACATGAGAGCATTGAATCTCAAAGGCGCATCGTTGACATTGCCGACGGACATTGTCATGATGTTGACGAAGAACATTAAAGGGTTCGATGACGCCTGCGTATCTTCAGCATTGATGCGCTCTGTCCGAACAAAGGACAAGTCCAGCTGCATGGGCTGCAGATGCAGAAACTCGAAGTAGATGTCTTGGCCTTGCTCTTCTTGCTGCGGCTCAGGTATGTCTAAGTCTTCGTCACAGAGCTTACCTTCAGCCTCTTCGGACCAGGAAGCACCTGGGACTTTGGCGAAGTCCAGCATTGTAAAAATGAAATCCTCGTCCAGCTCGATGGTCATTTGTTGCAGAAGAAGGGTGAAGTACTTTATGTAAAGGACACCATACGAGTCGTCCTTGACGCGAGTGACCATAGCGTGGAATATCGGATGTGCTTCCATCTCTTTGCCGGTCTTTGGCACCACGCTGGGGTATAGCAACATAGGGAAAATGCCACCATAGAGCTGGTTATCGATCTGAATCCATTTGGTAGTCCAATTCAACGTCTGGTACAGCTTCGAGTCGCCATACTTGACTTCGATCTCGCGGAACGTCATGTAAAGCAGCTCTTTCAATTTGGTATTGACCAGCGAGATGCCGATACCAGCAAGACGGAGCTGAGCCTTGAACGTAACCTCGGACTCCATTTCTTTGACCTCGAACCCTGTGTTCACGCTGCTCTGTGACTCGTGGGCCTTTGCAGACTTCTGCTTGTACAAGCTCTTGGATGGCTTATAGTTGGAGAGTACCAGTGTCTGCGTTGGACCATCTGCCGCAATATTGAGGTCGATTATCCTTGGAGGCTTGCCTTGCGCTCCAGGGACCTTCAGAGGAACGAGGTTGCCAATTTCAGCAAGCTTGACACGCCTTTCTTTGCCGTTGGAAGTGATGACTAGCTCTGAGTTCTTAGCTGCAGGATAGTCCCAGGCGTATGGCATGATGCTCTTCGGCGGAAGACGATAGCGTATTGGCTTCCACCCCGAGCCCTGGTCTTCCTCGTCTTCCTCAATGTGAGGATTAGCTTGGAAAAACATGAACTCCAGGTCGCTTTCGTTGCGCATAGAGAAAGGCCAGTGTTTGGTTTCGATGCTTATGTGGAGGAAGATCGTAGCTGCTTCCATGATCACTTCCACGCGGATGAGCTGTTGGCGTTGCCCGGCTTTGGCAAGCTTCACATGAACGGTTCCCAGGTTTGCTATGTTGAAAGGCGAAGACCACTGATTGTTCACACCAGGGAAGCATAAGCATAGCTGCTTTTCGGGCGCCTGTCGCAGAAAATGGAGCGGCAGTCGCTCGCCGTGCTTCATTTTCATGACGTTGGAAGACCCGGAACCAGGTTCGCGGATGTGGACCTCCTCTTTCAATTTGTTGTTCAAAACAAAACGGGGAGCC